TCAGTTGGCCCGGGGGGGGCACGGTGAGGTGAGGTTGTTGAGGTTGCGTGTGCTGGACAATTCGATTTGGATTTGATTGCTGTCGGTTTGCTCGGAATCGTCAGCACCAAAATGCGGTGAGGGAGTGGGGAAGGAGGTGTGGAGCATCGATGCCGGGACGTGCTGGAGCGACCAGGAACGACCAGGAGCGACCCCTCCAAAGTGGATTGCCTTCGAGGTCATTGGCCCTATAAAAATGAAGGGCGAGGCAAGCAAGGGTGGCCCCAGTACGCTGGATCCGGCCATTGGGAGCAACTGCCAACAGACTGTGGTGTGGTGTACTTGTACAGGCAGGTATGCGTAGGGTATTGTGGGTGGGTGGCAGGCGCGATGCACTCCATTGCAGTTGCTGCAACAGGGAGCGCAGTGGAGCTTGAGGTCGAGCTCGAGCTCTACTGTACCTCCTTGGAAGGTAAGGTACTTGTAGGTAGGTACAGTACGCTGAAAGATGCTGCTGTGTACAGCCCTCCCAGCAAGTAGGTATGACTTCATTCCACGTCCATCATCCCTCGCCTGTTCATCATCGCGCATCTCCCCCCTATGCACTGACTCTCTGCCACGGCCGCCTTTACCGGTTTGCCCCCGGCGAGCCAAACAAACACTTGCGCTCCCTGGATTCATTTCAAGGTCAGAGTCAAGCTATCTTAGATACTTACCTATCTAGGTACATGTAGTCTATCGACGTCCTGAAAATCGACAGAAGTGCCGCTGCGGCCCAACGACCCCGACCAACCCTGAACGAAAACGACCATTCATTCCCACGCTTCGAAATGACACGCCTCACTTATCACCGCTCGCAGCTCGAACCAGCTCATCCCTGCTTTTAACACTCTGGTTAGGGTTCCCTCCTGGAGATCGCTTCGCTAGAGGATTCAGGGCCCTCATCTGCCCATTGCCGCAAAGGTCACGAGTCTGGCTGCTCCCTGCCACCCGCTCGACATGCGTAGCCCCTCCAAGCTGTCGGCCACCATCGTGTTTGGGGTCGAAGCCATTCCACCTAATCCCGCTAACATCACAAAGCCCGCAGGCGGGCGTCGCCAGGACTCGCAGCCATCTCGTCGGCGGGGCCGGGACATGCGAATGACTGACAACCACCCTTGCCGCTTCCTCCCTGAATCAAGACGTGCGATTCAAGACGGACGAACCTTACCTACCTACCGCCAGATAGACAGTTGGTCCCTTCTTGGATCACCGCCACCTCCACGGTACACAGTCAGCCAATATCGTCGTGAGCGCTGGCACGTTGCCCCGTCCCACCATGATGTCCATCGTATGTGGCCGAAGAACGGCACATGGACGATGCACACAACAACATAGTCATCAGGATCATGGAAGAACTGGTATACCATACGTACAGATCGCGACAATGGGATTCAGCGCCATGACCTGGCAAATTGCATCTGCTGTGCTCGAGTGCGACATGTCCACCTGTGCTACCCCAGATACCCTCTATCTCCCGTCTCCGACCCTGCCAAACGAGGCAAGCGACCCCGTCATGGTTGGCTCGAGGAGTAGCGACGCTCATACCAGCCCTCCAAAGAGGGAGGAGTGGTTTCCTGGTCATCTCATATCTTCAGCCCTTGTGCCGGCGTCTAGACCCGGCGAACACTAGTATCAAGCCAGACCTAAGTCACACAGACACAGCAGAGCGAGAGTCCAGCGGAACGGGTTCCCCGACGCCAACGCCAGTGGTAGTTGCATGGCGCGCGCCAGGGAAGTTCCTCGCGTTAGGGGACCATGTAGGAGCATTTGGCTTCCGAGTGTTGATGTAATGGCACCACCGACGTACAATTGTGATGGCTAGTGGCCTTCGGCAGGGAGGTGACGGAAGGTGCCCGAATGATGACACGAAATCAGCCTGTTCATCCGGGCTTGTTTGCGCCCGTGAAGCTGAGGTGCGTTGTCGCTTGCTTTACCCGCGGCCCGATCCCGCCCGGGATGGTCGAGATGAGAAATGATGCATCCAACAGCTCAACTGGGCTGAGGTCTCCCCTGGCACTGCGCACACCGAAACCGGTCCATCCCGTGCTGACTGTTCACCGGTCTCAAGATTTGGCCTAGTGACCTCCAGGATGGTCGTGTTACAATCAAATGTACCAATGCTACAAGGCATGGGACAGGATCCTTTTTTACTGGGCATCAGAACTAGGGGCTGGGGGAGAAACTCATGTCCAGCATCATAAGGAGTTTGTCTGACTTGGAAATTGCATGATTTCGCGCGTCATGGGGGTGCAGTCCCGCGAAGGCTTCCGGCCGGCCCAAGGCGGCAGCCGGGGGAGTGGGTTCCGACCTCGCGACGCCGTATCTGGTCAGCCGGCATATGGTCGAGGTCGAGTCCGTAACCATGCTGCTTACATGTGGGAATGTTATTCTGGCGAGCGCGACGCCGTGGACAACGTGCCATGTCTCGCTTGCCATGACCAGGCTGCCCACGTTGTACCATGTAGGCCATTCATTAAGCATCCACCACGGCGGCAGCCCCCACGTCTTCTTTGCGTAATCGCCTTGCCCGTGAGCTCGGGTGACACAAGCATCCATGAGGCCGCGTTGGGGCCGAGTGACGTTGACAAGAAGAGCCAATCGAGGTCGAGACTTGCGCAAGTGTTGCAGGCTATGTCGACTGACTATCGGTGTGCTACAATGGCCTCTTAAGTTCAAGTCGGTGAACGACGAACGACGAGGTTGACTCGTCTTGCTAGGGCCCATGTCTGGCGCGCGCCACGCGAAACTTATTCTCTTGCTATGGCGATCTCTCTCGAAGAATATTTCTCTCAAGTGATCATGTGAGAAGTATGTGCCACCAAAGGCAAAGCTTGTCGAGGTTAAGACATGTCAAGTGGCACCTCCACAGTCGGAGTGGGGGATTGCGGGGGGTGCTATGTTGCGTGCACATGAGGGTAGGGCAAGGCAAGGCAACATGCAATAAGTCAGAACAGTAGCGAGGCCAGACGGGAGAAATGAGTATGAACCTTGAGGAGGACTCGGTCACACCTGCAGCTCGGACGCTCTTCGATATGACCCTGCCCGACCCTCGGTACCGTGTTCGCTCATGTTTGAAGATGCCTTGTAGTTCTGATACTGAGGAGATGGCGCTCGAGGAGTTGCATCACGCGATCGTTTATATTTATACAACCCAGTGTAGACTATGTGAAATGACAAGATATGCCTGTCATGGCTCTCGGAGAAGTCGGGAAAGTTGAAAGCAGGGGATTCGACGCCAGAGAGAGTTAATCCCAGAGACACGTCGTGATGCCGACCCTCCAGCCTTGGATCTTGCGGGCTGACTGACAGCTGTTGACGGACTGCATTTGGCAGCTGTGGGGCCAGGCGACATGCGGAGGGGTCTTTCTGCACCAACCCTCTGTAGGCAGGCGGTGTCCGACTTGAGCTCCCCCAGGCTAAGGTGGTGATTGATTCTGCCACCAAGAGTCGCATCGAGCTCCAGTGTTCAACGACGATTCGATAGCTGCTGCATCACGACTGACTACCGGCCACCCGACGACCACGAGCCAGCCATCATCAGCCATCAGCCACCCGAAGCCTATCGGATACACTCCAGCGGGCATTGGGCCGGAAGGAACACCACCAACCAGACATGATGCCCTTGCATTGTTCTACGAACGGCCTTTGACAAGCATCTGCGTCGAACGACTGACTGACTGCCTCTCATGTCGCGCCATGTAGGCGCCATGCCGACCGTCCGTAAAGGACCCAATTGGCCCTCCCATCTTCGCCAATTCAGTCGCGGGAGTCTCGATCGCAACGCGTCCTCGGCCGACTCCCCTCGTTCGCCCGACACCGTATCCAGTGCCTCGACGATTCGCGGCGATCAGTCATCCTCGTCGCAGAAGACGCGCCGTCTTGAGAGGCGATGTACCGTCACCGTCAATGAGGGCTACAGCCGCGATGAGGTCCTCTTGAACCTCGACGTCTTTGGCGGCGAGGTTCGGTCCGGCAGCCTCATGGCAATCACGGTGCTGAAGCCCGAGAATGACAAGAGCGCAAGCCATGGGTCGTCTGGGCGTGACCATGCTCGGAGCCCGGCGCCCGGTCTCTGCGACGGGGAGAATGTGGGACGGCGCTACATATTCGTCGTCAAGGACGCGTCGAAGGAGCAGAAGAGCCGCAATGCGGGCCTCGAAATCTTCGTCATGAAGCACATTGCCGACGCCTTTGGCATGAAGAAGGGCTCGCAGGTCCTGCTGAGCCACGTCGACGCCAACAGCCCCGCTACGGCCGCCTCCCACGTTGAGCTCTCCTTCAAAGACCAATATCTCTCTCGCTCCGACATGTGGCGCATGGCCATTGGCGAACTCGCCGAGCGGACCGTCTACAAGGGTCAATCCATTCTCTTCATGGGCACCATCAAGGCTCAGGTAACCGCCGTCTACGTTGAGGGGCAGAAGGCGCATTCGGCCTTCTTCACGCGCGACACGCGGCCCATCTTCCGCAGCGAGTCGGCGCGCTACGTCCTCTTCATCCAGATGGCCCGCGAGATGTGGGACTTTGACGCCGAGGGGTCGGGCGAAATCGTCTTCAACAAGGTTGTCAATGGCTTCCTGCCAGCCCTGTTCAAGAAGTGGGCCAAGATGAAGGTCAAGCACCTCGTCACCATTGTCCTCTTTGCGCGGGTCGAATACGACACTGGTCTCAATGCCGAGCTGGCGAGCAGTGCCCTCCAGGGCGATTATTACACGGGCACGCAGCAGTCGGGCGAGCGCAGGCCGTACAAAGACTTCTACCGCGTCGTCGTGAGTGAGATGGCGAGCAACGAGTGGACGACAATCTTGTACCAGCTCAAGAAGGACTTCAATTTCTTTCGTCGCGACATCAGCCTGCACCACCAAAAGGCCAGCAGCGCCTTCGTTCAGCTTGCCGAGGATGCCGATGGCAAGACGACGCCCAACAGGGTCAAGGCCGAATCATCGCTTTCCATGTTCGGCAACTTCCTCGAGGCTATCAACATGGCTTCGTCGCAGTTTGCCCACGATTACATCGACCGAGATCTCATGCGCACCGGCATATCCATCGTGGTCATCACACCCGGCCCCGGCGTCTTTGAAGTGGAGTACGAGACGTTACGACGGACGACCGAGGCCCTCGTGGGTAACGGCATCGGTATCGACCTGATTTGCGTGCCTAAGATGCCTCTTCACTCGGTTCCCCTGTTCCGCTACCGCAACCCCCAGCCGTCCGATGGGCGCCACCACCACCGGAACAAATCCATGCGCAGCCGCGAGAGCACACCGAAGCAACAGGCCACGCCAATCTTCGGGAGCTATCAGTCCATTGCCGACTCGCTGTCGCCCACAAAGGGCTTGGAGCTGGCGCGTCGCATCGACTCGCTTGCCCATGCGCAGGATGACTGGTGCTATGCTTTGCCTCAGTGGCTGCATGTCTCCTACTGGACCGGCACATCCGAAGAGGCCTTGTCGTACCAAGGCATCGCCCTGTCTGTGGCCGAGAACGAGAAAGAGACGCACGAGGAATTTATTATTCGTGCAAGGATGTATGCCTTGCAGATGCGGAGCGTGCTAGAGACCAACGAGATTGAGACGACGCCATTGCAGGCTGACCCTCTGTATCCCATCAACAACTCGGAATCCAAGACTCTGCCCAAGGTGCGCCACGCGGTGCAGGACGAGGCTGCATTCGTTCCGTACAAACGACCGGTCGACGCTCTCTTCGACCATGTCTATGGCTTCCAAAAGTTCATCCCCGAAAGGCTCTCAAAGCCCGGAGAAAAGTCGTTGTGGAAGCAGCTACAGGCGTACGACGAGACGAGGGCAAAGCTCCCCAAGTCTCGGAGGATCACGCCGGCCAGACACTCAAGGGAACTGGACGAAACAACGAGACGCCAATTGATGGAAGATACAGGCTTGTTTGGAACCTCGCTGCCGGAAAAGAAACTCGTCGGAGCGCACAGCCACGGATCTGCCAGTACGGCGCGCAAGATGTCAATGAATATTGAGGACGGGGAGAGGCCGGAATTGCCACCTGTGCTCCGCAAACAGTCAACAGCTACAATTACAGACACGACTGCCAAGTTGGCTACACCGAAGACGCCCAAGTTTATGCGCCAGATCAGTCTTGGTATTCGGGGATTTGGCATTGCTGCTCCCAAGGTCGTACGAGCCGAAGCAAGCTTCGAAACCGTCAACGCATCCAACGGCGAACAGAGCAAGCAGAAGAAGGCGGGCGGCGAAGATCTAGCCACACCTCTGATCAAGTCGACCCTTCCGCGTCCGGCGTCGCCCCAGTCTATCAAGCCTTCGATCTCTTCCCTGGCACCCCAGCTGTTTAGGTCCGATTCGAGAGATACGCTGACAGATCTACCTTCGACACCAAGCATACCGATCGGCGCGAGATCATCACAGTGGGGTAGCTCGACCAATCTTCAAAAGATGGGGGCTTTCATGGCTCCGGGTGTTCCATCCCTCGCCCGCAGAGATCTACTGCAGGAAGATCGAGACCAGCAGTTCTCGTCGGCGTTGAGACAGGAAGACAACGACAGGAGGTTCAACAACAAGCTCCGGGTCCCTGAGTCGCCTACCACGCTCTCCCCTACCACCGCCGTCACGCCCTGGCTGACGTTGCTGAACCCTTCCAACCCGGATACAAAGAAGGTGGACGACACTGTTCTCTACAGTCGCTGGCAGCACGTCTTCCCGAAAACGTCTGAGATGAAAGTGATGAAGTGGAAGGCGCTCTGCTGTCCCGCTGCGGTGCCACTGACGACCGAGTATTTCCCCACCAAGGCGCAATTCGATGCCGAATACCAGCGCCAGCCGTACAATATTGCCCAGAACGCGGATGATGAGCTTGCCGAAGAGCCCAAGTCGCGCGAAGAGTTCATCCGAGAGCTCATCAGCCTGAGGTTCTCACAAGGCTTCCAACTGGTCATTGGACCTGCCGTCGCCCGGGCGTTTGGCCAGAAGCAGATGAAGATTGCGGATATCTTCTCGCGCGACCAGGCCATGGAGGACGGCACTAGCGTCTTCATGTCTGTCGGGAACACCATTCATCAGCTTTCGTGCGTCAACGGGGCAGAAGTCGAGATCAACATCTTTGTACGCAAGCCGACCGAATCGGCCTTGCTCCCATTCGCGCTCGGCGCGATGTACAAGCCAGCGATCCGCACACTGTTGGATGTCAACTACCGGACGCAGGAGATTGACATTCTGACGCCCAAGCCCGAGAGAAACTGGAACTACATTGACTCGTACCTCGCCGGTCACAATGACGAGCTCACGGAGAGCCTGCGGTTCTGGCGGGCGAGGTTCGTGTTGATCCCCATGTTGCCACGCAACACGTCCGTGCCGAGGAACCAGTCTGGCGACAACCCGGAAGAGGTCCGGCTCGAAGGCATCAGGCGACTGTCCCTCCAGTGGCAAAAGTACCGATACATCTCGCCTTCTGAGCGCCGATTTCAGACAGGTCCCAGGAAGCAGCGCGACCCGAACCCTTTGGACATTGTGTACAAGACGGAAGATGCCTCTGCGGTCATCGCTGCCGAGGTGGATTCGCTTCCTCTTCTCGAGGGCTTGGAAGGAAACCGAAAGGGCCAGCTGGTATCCAACCGAGAGCGGTTCCGCAAATCAAATCTGAACATCGCCGCTCTTGCGGAAGCGATCCAGCAACCAGAGGAAAATGGAGGCGTCAAGCTCCAGAATCGGCGCTGGCACTTGCGACTGCATTACAACTGCTTCATCGGGTCGGACATGACGACCTGGCTGCTCGACAACTTTGAAGATCTCGAAAATCGGGACGAGGCGGAGCAGCTGGGAAACATGCTCATGGTGACAAAGTATGACAGGACCGAAGACAAAGAGAAGGAAGAGTTTAGGAAGGAGAAGAACAGGGGGCTTTTCATCCACGTGGAGAAGCGCCATCCCTTCAGAGATGGGCAGTACTTTTACCAGATCTCGGGCGATCATGCCAAACCCCTACCGCCGAGCTGGTTCAACTCGCGTAAACGAGACGGTCCGGTGCCTGCCACGCCCATGGCCGAGCACACGCCCAAGGATTCGCCCCGCGCAGGCTACTCTCGCCCGACGTCGCTGCACGAAGAGCACTCGCCCGTTTCGGGCGCCACGACGCCGACCATGGCAAATCTCTTCAATTCCAAGAAGAGGCCGAGAGTGGTTTTGAGCAAGGTCGTGAAGTATGACGTGGACCACCGCAAACGCTCCTATCGGCCCGAGAGGATCGATTTGCACTATGATCGACTTCACAACCCAGACAACTGCTATCACATTCGCCTGGACTGGCTGAACGTTACGGCCAAGCTGATCGAGGACGCGGTGGAGGGCTGGGCCAGGGAGGCAGCAAACTACGGTCTGCGACTCGTCGAGGTCCCCATCAGGGAGGCTTGCACGATCACCGACACGAACCCCTTCCGCCGGCCGTACACTATCAAGCTCGCCATACCACCGCCGGCGCAGCAGCCTTCGACGTTTTACGATCCCACGTCGTTCACGGCCCAAACGTCTCCCGGCAAGCACCCCTACCACGCGGCCATTCTCAAGAAGTTCGACTTTGTGCTCGACGTAGAGGCGGCGTCAAACTACCCCCCTAATGTTGACGTGAGCTACTCCTGGGGCAAGCCCGATTTCAAGTATACGCAGTACATCCACCGCTCCGGCGTCCTGCTTGCCGAAGTCACAGATGAGGGACACTTTATCATCCTGGCCAACCGCTTGTTCAGTGAGCGGGCCACGGCGGCTCGCGAAAAGGAGATCAAGGACGCTCGCGATTCGTACGGCGGAAGCGGCGGTACCTCCCTCCCCGTCCCGATGGAACGAGGCGGCGGCGGCGGCGGCAGCGGTCGGTTTGTGTCGATGGGGTCGTACACACCGTTTGGCGTTCCCGAACCAGGTCCGACGGCCTCCCCGCAGGTCAAACCAGCCCTCTTCGCGCCGTCCCCGACGATGAGAGCCGCGGATTACTCGTCATCTGCACACAGCACATTCCCTGGCAGCCTGAACCCCAGCATGCCGAAGCCCTTCCACCTCAGCGAACCGTCGCTCGTCAAGGACGACTTTGAGTCGTTCTGCGGGGATGCGTCGGCCCTCGAAGCCTTCTACAAGGAGGTGCTTGAGAAGTCGCGCGATGCGCGCTCGCCCATGACGACACCGGCCAACGTGCTCGGTCACCAGGGTGCTGGCGGGCTCGAGGCCGTGCCGGAGGCCAGCATCCCGAGCCTTGGCCTGCCGGAGCGAATGCTCGGCGAGATGCGGGACTTCAGCAGTCCGAGCCCTGGTCCCGGCGCGCTGAGGGCGTCGACGACAGCGACGACGGCCATGGGTATGATGAGCAGCCCCGTGCTGACGGGCGTGAGCTTCCTGCGGAGAGGGAGCGTTCAGGCGCAGCTGCAGCAGGTGCAACAGGCGCAAGAGGGCGCGAGGTCAGAAGGGGGCGGTTCCTTGAAGGATGGGAAAGGGGGCTAGTTGATGCTCTTCATGGTGATGGCGGCCAATGACGAGACGGGGAGTTTTTGGAGTTTGATGAGCGACGGGTTATCATATCTTATGCACATGTGAAAACTGAATTGAATCTTCCTCGAAAATGGTCCACTGCCTTACCTACCTAGGTACGGTAGTAGTAGTAAGAAGACAAGGCTGACGTTGGGCACTTAGTCATCTGATTCAGGCTCAGTCTGAATGGAGGGTGAGAAGGCAGGCAGGATGGGAAGACAAGGAGGGCGCGCCCCAGACGCGCAGGCAGCAGGACCTGCCTCCAATCGAAGGCCTTGGCCGACATCTCGTGCACAGGAGGATTGAATACCTTCTTCCGACCTACATCTACCCTCTCTACACGCTCGCAAGAAATGCCGCTCTTTGCATCTGCATCGCCGTACCTCATTGTTCCATCATTCGTCACAGTGCGCTGGGCAAGACGTTCCCGACAGGAAAGAGGTGGATGGATGAAACAGGAACAGCAGCGACTGGCAGCCGTCTTCATGGTGGCACCAGCACGATGAGGTAGGGCGGCCATGATGAGCATGCATGATGATGATGGCAGCCCTCTTTTTAGCGACGACAGCACGATTGACCCCAGAGCTCAACGATTGACGATTCGCTTCTTTCTGCCCTCGGCTTACTTGCATCCAAGGAGGAAATCAATGACTCTGGGGTGCTTCCAAGCCTCCCTCCCCGGAGGCCCTCCCGGAGGGTACCCAACTCATCAAACTGGCATCAATGGGTGGCTACCAGCCACGGCAAGCGAAAAGATGGCTCGCCCTCCGGTCAAATACCCCATCAACTTGCGCGTTGTCGCCCACCAGCCCATTGCCATGATCGGGCCTCCGCATCGGACGAACCGCCGCGGTTGAACCCTCGCAGCTCGGACGGTTTCTGTTGGACAGACGGGAGTAGCGGCCCCTCCAAGCTGCAGCGGTCACGCCTCTGGTCTACTGCAACAGCTGCAGACTGCAGACCGCCTTGAGGCCCAATTCACTTCTGGTCTTCTCTTCCCCCCCCCCCCCTCCTGGTCCGGCTGATCGGTCAGATGTCTGCTTCTGCTTCAACTTCTCCTCACCTCCCTCCGCTTTTCTCACTGGTCTAGCCAGGCGAGGTCCAGGCCACACAACTTCCGACCAGACGACGGCCACCTTTTACACCTTGGCCCATTGAAGCCCATCGGGCATTCAACCTCTTCCCCTCATCATTGGACCTACCTCGTCGACCTGCTGCAGCAACAACAAGCTGGCATTCGAGCCACGACACTCCTGCACCGACCCTCCAACCAGCAGACTGCCTGCACTTTTCGCCCTTCTTGAACCCGCGAACCTCCTCGCAGATCCTCTTTGTCCCTCTCCCCCACTCACTCCCATTGAACGACCGTCCGACCCCGTCATCCCCACGACACAAGGACCGCACACCAGACCAGACACGGCCACCGAGCGAGCGAGCACCCGTCCCAACGTCCTGCACCGCTGATGCTGGTGCTGCTGCTGTTGCTGCTGTTGCTGCTATTGCTGCTGCCACCGCTTCTTCCGTGCTTTCATCCTGCAGGATACATAGCAGATACAGCTAGCATTGCTCCCCCCTTTCGGTTCCCGTTCCCCTCTTCTACCGCCAGCTGTACATCGCTAGGGCCCAGCTGCATTCATAATCAAAACCCAGGTCAGTCCTTAGTCGAGACTTTGCTTCCCTCCACCCCGCCTCTGAGCTGTCTGCCGTCTGAGCTGTCTTCCATCTCTACCTTCACCCCGCCACTTCCTTGCACGCGACTTCAGGTCAGCATTCTGAAGAAGATGCCCCGTGTAGTTGTATCGGAGCCACCTTGAGATATCGTTTGCCGTGTACATTATCTGCTGCTGTTGCTGCCACCGCCAGCTTCCACGACGCTCATTTTCTCGCCACCTTCCCTTCTATCCCTCGTGCTAAGATGCGTTCCAGAGAGCTCAAGACGCGAAAGGCAGTCGTCAGGATGGACCCCGACTGCGCCATCTGTCATGCACCAGCCACCATGGCATGCGACTGCGAAGCCAAGGGCCTAGAGGTAGCCATCAAGCAGGCCGAGAATAGGATGATGCAGTCCATCTACAGCGATATACGGTTTGTTGAATCTCATCTTTTGACCTCGGGTGTCTCTAGTGTTCTGACGACATGGTATAGTTCCTGGGTCCGTGGGCGCGCCCAGGATTACATTCTTGAGTATTACCGCCTCCTCACCGATCGTCGTAAGACACAGCACAGCATGAACCTCGAGCGTATCACCGCCCATGCTTCCTATTACTACCAGCAGCAGCCCCATCCTAACGACATTGCTGCTGCTCAAGGTGCCCTCAAACGCGGCATCGACGAGGACTGGCAGGCCAGCGTCCAGCGGTATCCCGAGGTCCTGGAGTACTTCTACAGTCTCGTCGAGCTGAACCTCCCCCCCGATGATGACCCCGCCGTCAAGGACCCGCCACTCAGCGCTCTCAATGGATCGAGGAAGGCGACACGCCGATCAGTCAGCCACGCTATAGCCGGTGCAAGTCACCACGAGAGAGAGCTGCCGCTGCCGCTTCCAAGACGGACGCCGCCACCGCTAGAGCCGAGGATGGATCGCCGGACGCCGGCACCAAGGGAGAGCCGAAGGGCATCGTTCCGACCCCCGCCGCCACCGCCCATGTCGTCCTACTACGGGCCACCCCCAGGCTGGGGCGTTTAAGCCGTAGTTGGCTCATAAGAAAATGTTTTGATATTTTGAAATTCGGCTAAGATTAATGAAGCTCACGATTTATGATGCTGCGGCACTTCTCAACTTGCAGAGTTAGACAGTTCCTTGTTTCGCGTTTGGACGGATCGATGGAGTATGGAGCTGCATATGGGTAGCGAGCATGTTCTTCTCAGCAGAGTGTTGCAGGTTTCGACGTTGGCACGGATGCATCTAGGGTTGGCATTCAGTCATTAGCTGGGCGGGATTTGATAGATGTGACCTAAATCCACAGTTCTGAAGCCATTTTGCTCATGTTCCAAGACCTGTTTTGAAGTATCGCGAGTCAGTATCACACCTCGTAGGCGATGATGTGCCTGCTTCAGCTTAGTCGTCAGCACGTGGAGGGGCGCAAGGCTTGATCTTGAAAAATGTCATTGTCGCTGTATGCGGCCCCAGCCACCCTAAGTACAACAAGACGAACCAAACCACTGCCACCCCGCCACGCTTTTTTGGTGAGAATCAAAAGGGACCAC